CCCCCGGCTGGCCAGACCCCTCCGGGGGAACCTGGCCGTGGTCCAGCAGAGGCACAACTTTGGCTCGCTCCCAGCGCCCCCCCCAGCTCAGGGCCCGCTCGGCAACCAGCAGCTCGCCCCCGCGAGCCAGAACCTGTGCACGCAGGGCTACGTGCACCCGGGCTACCAGGGTCTGACGGCCCCCCCCACGCAGCAGCAGCAGCTTCCCCACAGGCTGTGTGGGGGCTTCAGCCATCCAGCCAACCAGGAGCCGGCGTTCAGCCATGAGCCCAGCCCAGCCGCCATGTCTGTGAGCAGCAGCCTGCGCCCCCCCCACAACGGCGCCGGCGCCCCGGAGCTGCCCGGCTACGCGGCGGGGCCCCAGACGGACGGCTTCTCTGCGGTGACCCGGCTGGACACCCACTACAGCCTCCCGGGTGTGACCAGAGGGGCGCTCCAGCCCCGGCCCCCCCCGGAGCCCCGGCCCCCCCCGGAGCCCCGGGGGGGGGTCAGACAGGCTCCCGGCCCAGCACAGCCCGGCCGAGCCCCCAGACCGGCTGACCAGGATAGCTCTGAGGCCAGCCCCAAGAGGCCCGGCCGGGGGCCGGCCCCCAGGGGTCAGCGCCCGGAGAACCCCGACCCCGCCCTCTGCTACGTGGGCCAGATCCACATGTTCCAGCCGCCCCCCCCCAGCTTTGAGGCCGCCATGCCCCCGTGCGTCAGCGAGGCCGGCGGCCCGGCGGGGGGGGGCCAGCATGGCCTCGCCCGGAGTCAACCAGGTCTCCAGCAGCACGGCAGACTGCTCCCCGGGGGGGGCGGGGCCGGCGGAGCCCCCCCAGATAGACTTCGACACCATGCTAGACGACGGGGACCACTCCAGCCTCATGTCCGGGACCCTGAGTCCCGGCCTGCTGCAGAGCCTGTCCCAGAGCTCCTCCCGCCTCACCACCCCCCGCAACTCCGTCACCCTGGCCCCCGCGCCCCCGGGGGGCGGCAACATGGCCATCGGAGACATGAGCTCCATGCTCACGGCTCTGGCTGAGGAGAGCAAGTTCCTGAACATGATTAGCTAATGCCAGCCAACAAACGCCTCATTCTCCAGCCGTCGTCACATTCTCCGTCAGGAATCAGGAGCCGACAGGAGGGGCTGTTTCCCACACTCCTCCACGGGTCAGAGTAATATGTTAATCTTGTGATATTTGCTTCAGATAATATGTTACGATGAAAATGTCATAGTAAATATAGCTAGGGTTAAAAACAGCTCCTAAAAAGCCATATCTTTAAGCTACAAATGTAGGATAACCCAGGGTATGTAAACGCATCACAAACAATTGCCATTCAGTATTTCCTGCGGTCACAGGCCTTCACCGAGCACTGATATCAGGTCACCCTGTGCCTTGATGAGGACATCAGGATGTGTGGACTGTGGGAAAACAGAGTTCCTAGGGGATGGACGGCCTTTGTTATGGAGGACATTTTCCCCAGATGTGTCTAGATTATACTGTTTGGTAATTGCTTTAAATTATGCTATAGACTTTCAGTGGTTAAACTCCAGCTGCCAAAGGAGCAGCGATATATGAGCGTCTAATATGAAAAGATGCACATTTTCTAGTTGTTTCAGCCATGCTTGTTTTGTGGCAAAAGGATTCCTGTGAGGTGGCTGAGCTCAGCCACGGATCACATGTACGTACCACACAGTGTGGGATCAGAGAAATAAACCCTGACTTCACCTGGAGCCGGCCGAGTCTAAAACAAGACGGGAGATGTCTCCCACTACAACAGGTTTCTAACCGAGTTCCAGTTGTGACAGCCCTAGTTTAAACGCATGGATGTTGGGCATTTTCCTGTTTTTTTTTGTTTTTATAATGTAGCCTTAGGCTGTCAGTAATGGCACTGTAAAGTCTGATTTCCTTCTTAGCCCTACTGGATCAAAAACTTTAACTCTCCATGGTCCCGTCTCACCAGGGGAAACGATTGAAAATGACAAGGATATGCCTCTGTGTTAGTCTGTTAGGGCGCACGAGGCCTCATGCATCTGATGAAGAGCGTTCTCTAAAAGAATATACAAGTACCCCTGTGTGTTTTCAGCAGAGATCCAGCCCTAATTAATGCATCCACACCCCCCACTGCTGCAACCCCTGAGTCCCCCGGGTTCCCCATGAACTGCAGAGTCCAGGAGGGGACTCAGACTTTGATAAAGAAATCCTGTTGTGGACCGGGCTGGCTAAGTGCAGCAGCAGATTCCTCCCCTCTCTTATGTGTGCTGGTTTCTGAGTAGACTTTCATATCTGTGTGTTTGCCTCGATCTGCTTTTACTATGCCTGACGTGTGGGTTTGTGTGTATATAGCTTTTGTACATTTCAAATAAACTATCCTTTTTCTGTTAAAACTATTATTTTTGTCTTCTTTTGCATTGCTGCTGCAAAGTTAGCCCTTCAAAGATCAGTCCAATTCAACCTTATCACAAGCTGATTAACGGGGACCCCATGTTTGTCCAAAATGAGAGTCAAATCAAATGGGACCCCCCCCCCCCCGCAGTCTGGGCCTATAGAGGGAGGAGAGGTGCATCATGGGATGATAAATCAAACATGAGTTATGAGAAAAAACACTTTTACTCTAAAGTGTCACCCGAACTATCTGTGACAAAAAACTATGATTCGGATTGTTATTGGAATACTTTCCCTCCTTTTTTCTAAGTGTAGACGTTAGAGGGTCTAATTCTGCTCTGAATCAGGATGCCAACTGTCTGATTTTATTCAGGACTTTTCTTGAATCCACTGACTGTTGTCACCAGTTTTCTGAGACGGGTCAAACTGAGCATGGAGTGGACACTTCTGCCCTCCTGACTCATAACTGTAGCTGATGGGAGCAGTTAGAAGAACCGGTCTGAGCTCAGGAGCCTGTGGGCGGAGTCTCTGGACCGCTTTAACCCCTTTTGCCCCCCTGCGTGGCTGATCATGCACAGGGCTCAGACTGCCGGCTGCCTCTGCACAGATGATGTTTTCCAGTGATACGTTCACTCATAGACAGCTTTATCTCAATCCAAAATGTTCACTCTTGTTTCTTTTGTCATGGAGTTAGCTTTGTGCATATGTTTCTAAAAGAAATGAGTCTTGAGAGCAGCGTACAGCAGGAGGGCAGAGGCTGAACAACAGACACCAAACGGACGGGTGGAAATTTGTGGGGGAATGAATAATACAGAACAGACCAAAGCCAGTGAGAGGTGGGCAACAGAACGGAGGCTACATGGGGCGGGGGGTGCAATAAAAGATGCAGACTTCCAAAAGAGAGAAGAAATCCCTTTTAATATGATAGCATATTCTGCTGGGGGCTGGCTAGATGTGGAGCCCACTGATTGCTTTTGCCACTGGAATTCCATATTCTCTTAGTAAGAGCATGGGAGAAAAATAGCCCCGGGGTAAGGAGCCTCACAGAGAGAACAAGAGGCTGGTGAGGCCGTCGGGGATGATTAGACAAAGCACACAGAAGAAGAGAGGGCTCCCCTCTTCACACTGATAGCAGTGTACAGCCCATCACCCCCCCTCCCTGTTGTGTTCATCAGCTCTCTGAAGGGAAGCAGGAAATGAGCAGGCCTTGCTGGTCAGAGGAGGACGGCCATTCCCGGCATTACCAGCACCGAGGAGGCAACAGGTCCAAGCCGGAGTCCAGACGGTTCTGCTGGACCAGGCCGGGTCAGGGACGCCAGCAGGGAGGGGGCGTTTCTTCTGTTTCCAGCTAAGAACCACGGCCTGTTTGCCACAAACTGCTCCAGCGAAGGGGGGGGCTGTAGAAAGCCGGGAGGAGAGCCGGGATTCTGTTCAATGTGTCAGAGAATTTCCAAAGAAGTGTGTCACTTTGACCTCGCTCTGACCTCTGGGGCCAGGTCATCATAAGAGAGCGATTCCCTCCCCAGGCCAGGCTCAGCCTGGGGGACCCGGGTCTGAGTCGGGGACCCCCCCTGCTGCCACTGGCCTGGGGAGCCGCGCTGATAAAGCCCGTCTGGTGGCTCTGTCAGAGAGAGCAGGGTCAGTCCCTGACCAGACCACGACCGGTTAGCCTCTCCAGCCAGTCAGAGCCCCGCTCACACACTCTGGGAGCATGAATGGGCTGTTAGGAATGCTGCTGTTTGGTTGGGGGTGGGGGTGCGGGGTCCCCCCATTGAGAGAGAGTGAGACTGGGGAGTGGATGACCTTGTTTTCTTCTGCTCATTGTCCAGTCCTCTCCCTGTTAGCAGCGCACACAGAGTGAGCGCCCACTCAGCTTTGTTACATGTTCCTCACAAGTCATTTCAGCAGTGCTGGGTGAGACTGAGAGCAGAGACCATGGAAGACGTCACATACAGGACCTGTCTCCTCATATCCTCATGGGTCATGCACCGGCCTTAAGTTTATGTTCATGCATTTAGCAGACGCTTTGTCCAAAGCGACTTACAAAAGTAGACACAATTTTACAGTTATCATCAGTCTGACAATCGGCTCTCTGGAGGAAAACCCCCAGTCAGAGTCAGTGGAGACAGGAGGAGATAGAGGGAAGCCCAGAAAGAGGAGCAGAGGGTCCAGAGGTCCGGGTAAGAGTCAGGATAGGAGATGCTCTTTGAAGAGGTGGGTCTTTAAGAGTGTCCTGAAGATGTCAACTGACAAAATATTCACTCAGAGATTAGGTAGGAGAACAGTGCTAAGTGCTGTGTATGGATCATGTTTTGTTCAGCTGCCTCCAGCTCAGAATGCTGAGCTTAGCATGGCTGCAGGACAGTGTGAGAGTCCTTGGTCATCTGCCGGCTTTTAGCACTCAGAAAGTGCCAAAACCCTCCATTTTAGGTGGCAAAGCATTATCACACATCTACTATCCAGCTACATGGGTGGGAATGACTGAGAGCCTCATTGTGATTGACAACAGAAGGGCCCTGATAAACGCTTTAATACCCCCAGATCTTCTCCTCAGCCCTCCATCACACTGGTGTTTTACTGTACGGGATCCTGATAAAGAGATCTCCATGGTTTATAATAGGTTTTTTAATTTCTTAAAGAGCATTTTGCTCTCATTGATGAAAGCATTTCCCCAGCCATGGCTCATCTGCCACATGGTAATCGACTCTCAACCTCCAAGAGACACGACTTCAGCTGTGTTCAAGACATAGTCGCATTTGGAGTGAGTCTGAAAGATGATTTGATGATGTTTTCTGATGTGCCTGTTCCATTAGCCCCCGCTGGACTAAGATGGTGAATAGCTACAGCCGCACAGCCACTGTACCAGCAACCGCTGACAGGGCCTTTCCTTCACGGCCCCCTTTGAACTGGACTTTTACACACATCGGTTGTTCAGGATGAAGCTTCTCTGTGGTGGACAATACATTTTACTATATCAAAAGTACAGATCCTACTGGTCAAATCGGACTCCTGTAAAAGTAAAAGTAGTTTTAATTATTACTTGAGTTGAAGCACTGGAGTATCTGCTTTCAAAATACTCAAATATTCCAAGAACAGCAGAATTTCTACATACGAATTTAACTGGTTCCAGGAGCGACTTCTATGTTAAATATTGGTATTTTGGTTCAAATCTTTCATCAGAACACTCTGTAATTCCTAGAATTGGTTCCAAAAACCTACAATAACTCCTTAATAAATACTGCAGATAATTACACATAGCAAGAAAACAAATGACTTCTAGAAGAGAGATGGAAAAAGAAATAAATGATAAAGAAATAATCAATAAAAAGGGTTTTTATTGTCCCTTTAGCTCAGAGACTGAAGAACGGAGGTAGAGGTGGAGACTGAGATACAGGACCAGCCCTAACTCACTCTGACTTTACACAGGATACCTACACCTACTTAGATAGTAATTTTGATTTGATTTTTATATCTTATTTGTACTTTTCTATTACTTCAACGTCAAATTGTTGGAATTGACTTTGGGTGTCGAAAATTTTATCGAATTTCACTTTGTATGTTGGAATATTCGTATCTTTATGCAATTGTAAAAGTTTAAATTAATCAAATACATTCAGATAAGTCTGCGGAAATCAAAAGAAACTGGAAGGTGAAAGATGAAGCACTTGACAGAGGTTCCAAAACGACCATTTCTCTGCTTATTTTACTAACAACAGGATAAATAGATGTTAATTCAACCGAAAAGCTGCCCTCATTCTCAGATTTCCTTGTTTCTCCTGTCAGAAACGGACTCAGACTAAGGATGATCTAACCTAAAGAGTTCCAGCCTGTGGCTCTGCTAGAATCCTGACTTTCTGAGCACAGCATCCTCTGACACAGCCACCGTTCTGGGGGCTTCAGCCGGACTCTGAGAACCAGGATCTGAAACACAGAGGCAGCAGGATGTCCTTCAGGTGTCTCTGACAGCCCACAGCATTGTGGATGTTTTTCATTCAGGGACCGGACTTCCCTCAGTGTACACAAAAAGTTATAAAAGGCCAAGTCAAACTGTGACCTGAGTTTGTCTCAGCTGTGCATCTCTGGAAGGAGAGACGGCTTTCTGGCCTCAGGTAGAGAGTAGAAACACCCACAGGACTTTGACGAAGAGGGAAACCTTTTGTCTGTGTGGATGTTTGGAGGATCTGATTCCTTAGTAAAGGTGTCATGTGACAAACAAATCGGGTGCCTGTTCGTGGTCCACGCGGCTCGGCCATAAACTGAGGCCAACGTGAGCCGTAATCATACATAATGTTTGAATATTCCCCACCGGGTTAGCCTGGATGAGCATCCACTCTGTCAGTCTGAAAGCATGAATGAGTGAGTGACAGTCCTAATGAAGATGTCCTCTGAGCTGGCAGCACCACAGACCCCCTCAGTTCAAAAGCTGCTCAGAAAAACCTGCTTTGTGCTGAATCAAAGAGCCCTCACTGCTCGGGCTATTCTCCTCTGACACCACAGCGGTTCCAGAGGCCGTACCCCCCCAACCCACAGCCCCACGCCGCCAGCCCATTTCTGCTCTTCAGCCGGCCAAAGGGGGAGGTTTAGCCAAAAACAAACAACAACAAACAAAAGACCAAAGTGGGGTGAGGAGTAATGGAGGGGGGGGGGGGGGCAGAGGGAGAATTTCTGTGCAAAATAATTGCGAGGAACAATTTCAAACAGATGTCGGTTTGGACTTGGCCCTGCTCTCGTGTCCCCGTTAAATATAGTGATTTGATTAGAAAACAAGCAGTGTGAAATGGGCGGGCAGCCAGCCGGACCATTCGGGGGCTCACTAACGACCCCTGAGTGTTGAGGGGTCGTCTGAGTAAAAGCAGATCAGAGAGGATGTGGGGCCAGCAGCCAGGACAGGCCCCATAAATCCATCCCTCTCTCAGAGGAAGCCCTCTTTTTTCAGTTCACCATCAGAATTAAAACACAATCACAAGCCCCACATTGTGCTCCCCTCACTGTGCCAGGGTTATAATTCAGAGCCAGCACTCAGGGCTGGGGGGTGGAAGTGGACTTTTACAGAGGAGGGTCAACAGGGTCGTGTATTTTAGACTGGGGAGGAGACCTTGCCTGGGGGGGATTGTGGGAAATATGCTGCATGGCCTCATAACTTAAATCTGGGATGACCTTAGCACACTTCTTTTTTGTATCTCTAACCCGTTTGATAATCTTTGGCTCCTCTGATGGAACAAAAGGAAATATGGCAGCATCCTTATTGCCTCTCGAGTCGTACAGATTAATACAGCTGGAACAACATTTTTTAAAAAGAAGAATTTAAAGCTGACCAACAGGTTTCTTCCCATTTTTACTCAGCTGCAGAATGAAAAGATGAGCATCGTTTTCATCCCCTCTGATCAGCGAGGAGGTCAAAAGTAAACAAGTATAATCTTCATCATTCACCAAAGACACAGTCAGTGGATTCCTGGTCCCTCCTGAAACAAAGCTCTCAGTCAGACTGGCATCAGAGGCCCTCGTCGTCTGTTCAGTAGTCAGAGTCCCTCTCACACACATTAACACAGTTTTAAAGCCCCATGTGGGACAGATCTTAGTTCAGTATTCTTCATTTCAATTTTTTTTTTTTCAATTCAATTTTATTTATATAGCGCCACATCACAACAACAGTTGTCTCACAGCGCTTTCCAAACAGAGCAGGTCAGACCCTACTCTGAAGTTAATTACAGAAACCCAACAATTCCCACCCTGAGCAGCACTAGGCGACAAAGGCAAGGAAAAACTTCCTTTTAACAGGCAGAAACCTGGAGCAGAACCATGGCTCAGGGTGGGCGGCCATCTGCCTCGGCCGGTTGGGGGTGAGGGGAAAGAGAGAGCAAGAGAGAGAGAGGGCGAGAGAAGGACAGAAGGAGCAGAGAGAGGCAGCCAACACAGCAACACGTAGAATAGATTAAAAATGGCAATGATATTAATGCTAATGATGAGCAGGAACATGGGGGCAGCAGGAAACTCCCAACCACAGCTCTAGGAACACCTGCAGGAAGTGATAGGAGGAGACTCCCAACCACAGATCCAGACCCCACAGATCCAGAGCCAGGAATATCTGCAGAAAGTGTTAGGAAGAGAGAGGAGAGAGAAGGGGGACGAGAAAGCACACGACTACGGGGAAGGGAGAGAGTCCAGTTAGTAACATTGTTAATGGAATGAGGTTGCACCGGGAGGGAGAGAGAGAAAGGAAAGGGGAGCTCGGTGCATCATGATGCATCCCCCGGCAGTCTAGGCCTATAGCAGCCAATCATATCCTCATTTCCAATCTTCGTTGTCACCACAGGTCTTTATAAATTGGGGATATTACAGTTATTATTAAAGAAAAGTTGTGATATATAACAAAACCTGGAACAAGTGGAATCAGTTTACAAGACGTTTAAGAAAGAAAGTGTCAACGAAGTGGTGGAAATGATGGGGATTTTTTCTCAGCTCCAATGGGTATTTATCATTATGCTTTTATCAGGATCTGTGCGCTAACCCCAGTCCGACTGTCAGAGTGAGTTCACTTCTGCATGAGTGCAGCTGGTTCTTAGGTTTACTATCTCTGAAACTGTAGCCCCCTCTAGTGGGCAATCCTCAATTCAATCAGCCACACAACTGTAACAAAGGATTCAATTCCATTTTAATTCAGACTTTACAAAGAGCAACATCATGATCTCTCACATGCACTCATGTGCACACACACAGACACCCAATACGAACACCCCCCTGCCCCCCAACAGGTTCCAAGTGTAGAGCACAGAGCACCAGCAACAGGTTGTTTATACTTGTTAGCCATTATAGGTAAAGAAAAAGCAGGATTTATAGGCTTCCTCTATCCTCCAGATCGTTGGCTGGCCTTAAAGCCTTCAGAGCGATGGGCAGCTGCTCCTCCCAGACCCCTGCTGATGTCTTTCCTCCTTGGCATTGTGTGGACTGAACACCAGTGTCTTACATCAAACTACATGAATCCTTAAAGTAACTGATGAGATCAGATTTTATTATTTTCACAGAGTATAAAGAGTGATAGACAATAACATTATTTGTAACAGGGAGATCTGTTTTTCGCTTATTTGTAATATAAAAAACACAAACATACTTTGTACTATGCTCATTTCATTGCCTTTCAGTGCATTTATTAATAAAAGTAAAGGTTTAACTGCTTAAATGTTGTTCTCATGCAGCACAAAAGGAAAACAAACTGTACTAATACATAATGACAATAGGTCATCTCTACATGACCAAAACAAATGATTAAACATCCACCCTGGAGAGGCTCCAGCTACCCCACAACCTTAGCTGGAATAAGTGGGTTTGGAAAATGGATAGAAAACACCAACCCGTTCATATTTGTAAGATAGTATAAGACAGTTTTTGTTTCACCCAGTTATTGGAAAATAATGATGGAACAGACAGGTTCAGAAGCAAAGTATAAAAGAAAAGATATGACGGCTTAAATTCATGGTACAAAATGTATTCTCACATAAAAGATGAGGAAATGTGTGATTTAAGTGAAGCAATCTTTGTTTTCATATTTGAACTAAATGTTACCAAACTTAAAAAAGAGGAGCAGTAACTCGCTGGCTGAGATGGTTGCTCCAGGACAGGCTGTGAACAGATCGTTCACCTTAAAGGTTCAATGTCAAGTGCAATTGGGCCTTTCATTGAGAACCCGATGAAAAAGGACACTCTGGAGCCCCCAGCACATCCAGAGATCTGACTTCGATATGTTGGAGCCACTTTAACCCTGTAATCATCTTGGATGTTTACCAGGATCCCATCTCCATTCACCTCACCTGTGACTCTGAGAAGAAGCTCACAGACTTTCCTTTCTTTCCAGATTTTTCCATTTCTCCACATGGCGTCAAACTGTTCCTGCTCTGCCACAAGGCCTCTGATTTGTCCAATGTGCACCAGTCGCTCATAGCCGCGCTTCTTCCCCAAGAGGAAATGCATTATGGGCGTCTTTCCATTGTACACTTCCCTCATCTCATCGTGATATGAAGACTTCATCTGTGAAATGAAGGTTCCCAGAGTTCCCGGAGTTCTACAGTCTGTCCATAAGAGCACAACAGCAATGTAGTGCACGGGTAAAGAGTCGCTTAGTGGAATTTGCATTGCGAGAAGCTCGTTGAGGGCCTTTTGCAGTTGGGGGTAGGGCAGAAGCTGTTGTGACCCCAGTTTGATGTGACTCAACACAACATTGGCATAGATGAAGTTGGTCCTGTGTTTTACAGTTGGTTCGTGATTTGGTTGGCAAATTAGTTGGTATTGTGTGACAATTTTCTCAATCTTTTCAGTTGGGATTTTGCTGGAGAGACATTTTAGAATCCCAGAGTAGGTGTCAGCGTTTTCCTTCTCCAGGAACTGTCTGATCTGCAGAACTCTCATCCTCTCACCCAACATTTTATTCTTGGAAAGAACTGCAGACTGGAGGAAGACCTTTGCATATCGTCTGAAACATCTGAAAAGCTCATTTTGGGCCACCTGCTCACGACAGTCTTGCACTCTAAATCTGGGGCCAAGATTCACATACAGTTTCTCAAGGTAGTCAATGTTCAACTTCATCCTGCACTTGAGATCATAAAGAATACCTTCGTGCTGCTTGAAAGTGTCGTAATAGGCTCTGTTTTTACTTCGCCTCGGATCATTTTTCTCTATATCCTGAAATCTAACTTCTCCAGAGAGCACCTGGGCCATTAAGTCATGCCGAACATCACCAGAAGAGAATACGGGGGTGTTCTCCAGCAGATCGATGATGAGCACTCCGACCTGGATCTCCCCCAGGCATCCGGCTGTGTTGAAAGGGGAGTTGTCTGTTTTGGTGCTCAACCGCTGAATTGATTCTTTCTTTGCAAGATCCTGTGTTTGACGGAATGCCTCAATTGCTGATTGAGCCATTTTCAGAAAGGAGCTGAGTTTGTCTGAGCTGACTTGTTCTGCTCTGCAGTAGGCTATGGCATTCTTCAGCTCGTGTTTAAGAACCTGTGCTGATGTGTCGGCTATGTATGAGCTGTCTCTGGACAGACCTTTAGCTTTCTCTGCCCAGTTTCTGGCCTCAGAGAAATCCTTCTTTTTTAGGTAGTAGTACCTGGCCAATAACTGAGAGATGATGGCATCTTTGTCGAACCTTTTTGAGGCATTTTTTAGCACCATCTCTTCCAGTCCAGGTGTGTCACAGGCAATCTCTTGAATGAGGGGAGAGAACTGAGATTCCTCTTCTGCTGAATAATTCCTTTTAACCAAAATGCGGTGAACATCTTGCTTGAGTTTCCCTTGGCCTTGTGTGCTCTCGTAGAGCTGGTCTGTGGTCAGGAGCAGGTCGGTAATTTCAGCTTTTGTCGCATTGTGTGTTGTTGTCAGTTCTTTTAAACACTGTCTTGCAATCTTTGAGTGGATCATTTTCACAGCTTGGAAAACAACGTTTCCTTCTACTGTGCATGTGACAATGAAAGAGGAAAAATTCCCAAATCCATCCTCAATCTTGATGGTTCCACAAACTGGCCTTGGCCGGAGGTCCAGGAAGTCCTCACACAGAGAGACAGAGAGGCAGGAGTCCTTGCAGTAGACATTGAGCAGAACCAGGACCACCAAGAGCTGTGCGTGTTTCTGGTTAATGTTGAAGCTTCTCAGGGTGTTGCGGACCACGCCCTCTATATACTCCTGATTGAAGTTTGCCTTCATTATCATGAAACCATAGAAGGTTTCAGCATTCTTGTGTATTTTCTCTATCTCCACAAGTTTCTCAGCAAACATCTTCTGTTCCTTCTCAGAGAGGTCATTTCCAATGAAAACAGTTTCTGCGGTTGGTTGGGTGAGCTCAGAGCACTCTGTTCTCATGCAGTTCAGGACAATGACCTGCACACCACTGGACTGAACATCTGTCTTAGCACATTCTTTCTCAATGAGCTGCACCAAGTCCAGTACCTTCTCCATGTCGTTAAAGTCGTCGATCATCAGCAGAACGGGGATCTTCGGTATCTCTTCCTTGTGCGGATGCCTTAAAAGCACCACCACTTGCTCGGCTATCTCACCAGGGTCTGAACTACTACTCTTCAGGACAGCACAGCGATAACTGTGCCTCAGATCCCACAGTAAATGCATGGCCAAAGTTGTTCCCCCACATCCAGGGGCATGCAGGAGGCTGAGCAGCACACATGCTTTTGTCAGGGAGCGCAGGTCTGGTAGGACCGTGTCCCTGATGTAGTGGAACTTGTCTCGTTTGATAAATGGCATAGATCCAGGCTGCTCTGAGAAGTAGAAATTCCACCATGAAACCTTTCCACCTTTGTAGAAGTTCTTCTCTATGGTAATTCTGTCCTCCTCTCCTCCATCACATTGGTTCACACACAGGATTTCGAGGGTATTCATGCGGCGCTCCACTTTCTTATCCAGACCCACTTTGCTCTCACCGCCGCAGGGTAGGAAGCGGATGTCTCTGCGGTTTTTGGACCAAAGACTGAGGATGGTGCCATTGACTTCAGCGAAACTGAGCTCGTACACGCATCTATCATCTATGTCGATTCTGCACCGAGCCTTAATCAGGACCCTCCAGGAGGTAAATGCCTTTTCACTGTCAAAAACACAGAGAATTTGCTCCTTGCCTTGGAGCTCCTGCCAAAATGTACAGAAAGTCTCAACGAGGGGGTCCATCCTCTCCCTCACTGCTGACAAAAGCAAGAAAATGACGAGGAACTTCTTGTTTGGAAGCACATCTTTACGGCACAGAAAGGAAATCACATCTCGAACGGAGGCTCCCTTTTCTATCAGCCACTCGTCACACTCTGAGGGAGCCTCACCCTCAATGCCTCCGTTACAGAACACCCAGCTGGTGTTTCGGGTTAACTTCAACTTGTTAGCAATGTCCTCAACTCCCTCTGTGATTTTATACCGTGCAGGCAGATGGGGGGTCACTGTGCTCAGATGGTCAAAGTACTGATATAAGCCGTGTTTAGCTGATTCTGGGTCAAAGTCCAGAACCGCTGTTGGGTTGAGCTCTATAAGAAACTCTACAGACTCAAAATGGCTCGGATGGGTTTTGTCTGTCACGATCACATAGCGTTCAAAGCCAGACTTGTCCAGAGAAGCGGAGCCACCGGTTATCATCTGAATTAACTTGGAGCCTTGCGTGCTGCTTCTGACCACAGCCAGGTGCTTCTCCTCTGCGCTTCTGCGGAGCTGCGATCGCTGAGCTGTGCTCTCAACAAACTGGTGGTACTCTTTCTCTGAACCGTCAGTAAGAAGATCCCTGCTGCTGCCGCCGTCCCGCACAAAGAAACAGCGGGATGGCCCCGCTTCTTTGGGCTTTTTCTTGTTTTTCTTTTTGCTCTGTGTGTGGTAGAAGTTTTCCAAACAGATGCTGGACTCGGGGACGATGTCCACTTCAATCACACACTTGTCAGAGGATGTGGAGTTTTTCTTGAGAACCTCAACAAATCGGGGAGGTTTGATGCACATCTGAGCAGCTTGTTGGTGCTTATACTCAAAACAAGCATTAATGGCAGATGTTAGTTCTTTTGCATAGGCCTCCCTGTCCTCAGCCACCACTCCCAACACCTGGCCATGGATGAAGTCAGGCCAATCCCCTATTCCAAAATGTATGGTCCCGTTTGTGCGACTGTTCATGCAGGCAGCTGCAAAACGAATGACCTCAGCAGTGAACTTGACAAACTTAGTTTCATCAGTTGTGTTGATGAAAGCTTTATACTCATGGCAGGGTTCAATCCAGTCAGAGGCTCCTGATTCTGTAACATCCACAACGCTGTCCTCCACATAGCACAAAGTATCATGGTATCTACAGAATGGATAAGGCTTGCAGGGTTTTCCAGGCTGGTTTGTAGGCCGTGTGGGCTCCTCTTTCTGAAATGTCTCCCTCTCATCTCTGGCATGAATAAGATGGAATGCTGGTCCATAGGTCAAACCTATTTGCTTTAGCTTTTCTGTATCCAAATGCAGAAGAATGGGACCACTGATGTCTTGCTCAAGCAATAGGTCAGCAACTGATGCATCAACACCTTTCAAACCAAGAGCCCACTGTCTCACTTGATGTTTGCTCCAGTCTTTTATGTCGGGTGGCAGCTCCCCCTCCTGGCAAGAAAACACAGCTGTTAGCCTCCTGCTGTAAAACCCAACACTCTGCACACTTTATTGGACCATATTCAGAGTTTAAGTATGACATTTATCCCAGCATGACGCACACCTGTGGTCAACACTGCAGCCATGATTAACAGAGTTAAAGTAGCACCTCAGAACTGGAGCACATTTCACCAGGAGGTGGGATCTCTTGTTACTGTCATGTGATCCACCTCAGACTCGTTCAGACAGCGTTTGGGCATTAAGGTGTTCTTCGTTTCCTGGTACACCTGGAGGGTTGGACGGAGCCGCTCTAAAGCCCATGAATTAAACATTAAGGCTTCAAGCTTCATACTGAATGCTCAGATTTTAGTCTCTTTTGTCTTTTTACTACGAAACAGGAAGTCATCAGGACTCACACACATTAATGTTTAGACCAAAAAGGGTCCCCTCCTGAACACATCTGCTACAGAGCCCCTCGGTGCTGTTAGGGGGCCTATGATGTAGCACCTACAGGTGTCGGCCTACTGGACCCTCTGAATGCAGACCCATGTGATGCAGAATAGAAGTCTTTGTTAGTATTCCGCTGTGGTCCAGATTTCTACCTGCATCAGCAATACTGCTGATGGTCGGTGGTTTAAAGTCATGTCCCAGTATGAGCTGAATCCTAAATGCCTCACTCACTTTGGTTTCTCCTTGATCAGCCATATGGAGTCTGGTTTCCCTCCTCAGATGTACGCCACTAATGCTTCAAAACGACAAGGAGAGCCATTAGTAATAAAGAGGGAGACATTCATGGGTACTGAGCTGTAGTTTTAGCTTTACCTTGTGATGGATCTTCTGATCACCAACAGCTGTTTCACTTTCACTTAGATCCACCTGTACTGCAGCAAAAAAGAAGAAAAGGAATAACTTATGTAGCCAAACAAGTCTGAGTCAGAATGATCCTTTACCCATCAAACTGCTGTCTGAGAAGCGTCAGGGAGAAGCAACCTGGATGAAAACAGGAGAGTTAGGAGCTGACCTCTCAGTCCAGATGTGCTCGCCTCATAGTGCGTTGCTACTTCAAAGCTGGACGCTATTGATGTTTTTATTGCGTTTTCTTGGACCTGTCTGTCCCAGCTGTTCAGAGAAGAGTCATGTTTATATTCATGCATTCAGCAGAAACTTTTCTCAAAAGTGAGGCAGACACTTATGTTAGGCAGAGTAAGGGCAAAGGGAATCTGGGACTATTTCACAGATCATATCACTTCCTATTGATTGTGAATCTGTACAGAAGAGAGTCTTATATACCCCCTACTAATGGAGCATGAGGCCTTAGAATATTTGTATAATCATCATTTGGTATTATTTATGTATTATTTGTGTACATGTTTTGTTATTTCATTTTGGATGAGCATGTCATCCCTCACATTATGATCATTATTATTTTTGTTAAGTTCTATCTACCAAGGACTACCAAAATGTTAGAGTGTCTCATTTATGGCCTTTCCACTGTTTTGTATGTAATGTTCCACAACGAGCTTTTGCTAGATATGCTTTAATAAAAATCAGAAATACAAACAAACAAAAACAAGGCAGACTAAGCATTCCAGTCTACAGAGAGGTAAACCCCCAGTCAGAGGAAACAGTGGTGGCAGCGTAGAGATGGAAGGAAGTACAGACAGACAGGGTGGGGGGGGGGGGGGTCTTTGGTTAGGGTTAGGGTTAGGGGTAGGGTTAGGATTAGGGTTAGGGTCAGGGTCAGGGTATGGAGCTGCTCTAGGAGTTAGTTGGAGGTAGACAGGGACCCTCTGTTCAGGTAGCTGACAACACAGGGACTCAGTCCAGGAAACGAAACCTAAGTGAGACTCTTCTTCCTGCAACGCAGAACTTCCTGCTAATTTCACTTTTGCGTCACAGGAGCCAAAGTGGCGTTGCGTATTCTGCCTGTCACCTGGGACAGGACCCACCACCGGTCCAGAAAGATGGATCCGGACTTCAGTCTCCAGCAGGTCAAACAGCTGCTCAGAACCAGCTGCAGAACATCCAGAACCAGCTGCTCCAGTTCTGACCAGAACCAGGAAACAGGACCACATCAGTCCAGTTCTGACCAGAACCAGGAAACAGGACCACATCAGTCCAGTTCTGACCAGAACCAGAAAACAGGCCCACATCAGTCCAGTTCTCAGGTCTCTGCAGAACCAGGAAACAGGACCACATCAGTCCAGTTCTCAGGTCTCTACAGAACCAGGAAACAGGACCACATCAGTCCAGTTCTCAGGTCTCTGCAGAACC